TTTATTCATTTGACAGAGAGAGAGACAGCGAGAGAGGGAACACAAGCAGAGGGAGTGGGAGAGGGAGAAGCAGGCTTCCTGCTGAGCAGGGAGCCTGATGCGGGGCTCGATCCCAGGACACTGGGATCATGACCTGAGCCGAAGGCAGATGCTTAACAACTGAGCTACCCAGGCGCCCCAGAATTTTCATCTTCTATGTATGAAGTCAATAGATGGTTCTGAAATTGGTATATGAAGAAATAGCAATATAAGCATATTTCTGGAAATAAAACAAGGAGAAAGAGTTAAAATAGTTGTGTCAGTTTCTTAGATCCAGGTGACAGGATTCTGCCAGGCATGTTTAAGAGGGGATCTTAGTTCACAGAACAAGTCCTGGAACTATACCACAGAACTGGCCTGGGAAGGGGGCTGCTATGGCTGCCCCTAGAACCAGCTGCATCCACTGAGGTCAGGAAACTCAATCTGCTAAAACTAACCCCAGAATATATTGCCTCTGCTGTACTTACACCAGCAAAAATGGACTCTAGCCACCCAGCTGATTTCCTCACATTCTTTGCTTCTAAATCAAAGTACATGAACCTTACTCATATTCCCCAATTCTGTAGCAAGGGAGGCTGGGATTTCCCCCCTAATTCTACTTTGGTAAAGTGAGGTTCACTAATGGGGGGTTGTCAAACTATGGAGAGGGCACTATATAGTGTCTTGTCTCTTCCTTCTCTCACATGCTTCTGTCCCCAAATCACTGAAATTCTGTCTAAAATCCTTCATAAATGGTTCGTAAATCTGTTCACCTTTTTCTACTTTCCCTGCCATTTCTCTAGAGTAAGTCACTTCAACAGTTTCTCAGTTGGTCTCACTTTGTATGGTATTGCCTCAGAGCATGGGAAATAAGAAGCTAGAAGAGGGAAAGAGAGAGCCTTGGGATTTGTGGGTTTTCTAGAAATACTACCAAATTAAAATTTAATTGTAGACAGTACCAAAGGCAGAAATACATCTAAATTGTTTCCAAAGAGACAATTTAGTACTTTTCTTAACCAGAACAAAACTCCCCCCTGCACCTTCAGGTTGCCTTATGAACCTATTCAGGAAAGCCATGTGGTGTGGGGTGGTGCAAACTCTCTGGACAGGGAGGTTAGAGTTCAGGTTCTGTGACCTTCTTTACTCTTTCTATGGTCTTGAGCAGCCCCATAGCTCTCTGAGCTAATTTGTTATAGAAGCATTAAAGAATTTCTATGGAATGATCAGCCATTGAAAAACACTAAAATTGCCAAAGTGTCCAAATGACTAAATAAATTATGATCCACCAATACACCAAAATGCTATGTAGTCATTAAAAAGAATGATGTAACTCTAAATATACTAATATGAAACAAGTTCCAATATAATCTGAGTGGAGAAAACACAGTATAGAAAAATACATGTAGTATGCTAGCATTGTGTATGTCTGTGCATGTCACTGTGTGTGTGCTTTTAATGGATATCGGCATATTTATGTTTGTAAATTCACAGACATCTTTGGAAGGGCACACAAAAAGTGGCAATAGTGATTGCCTTCAGATAGGAGAACTAAATGGCTGGAGGCGGGGTTAGGTGGGGATTCAGTATCTTTTGAATTTTGTTCTTTGTACTTATATTACCAATTCAAAGACTAAATACAGGGGCACCTACATGGCTCACTTGGTTGAGCATCTGACTCTTCATCTCAGCTCAGGTCTTGATCTCAGGATTGTGAGTTCAAGCCCCATGTTGGGCTCCATGCAGGGTGTGAGGCCTACCTAAAATAAATAAATAAATAAAATGTATAGCATTAAAAAACAAAAGACAAAAAACCAAAAAATAAATGCAAAATTTTTTAAAGAACCTGGAATTAACTCCTATCTATGAAGGCTGAAGAGATAAAGAATGAGAGAGAATTAAATTTGAGGCCTGGGTGCAGCGGGAGCTTGGAGCTTCTCTGTTACCCGTACTTATCTACATCTTCACTTTTCTTATTTTGTGAAGCATTTTACCTTTAGTTTAAATATTTACAGATCTATGGTTTACCAAGTAGGGTTTTTGTTATGCCATAAAAAAATTCTCATATTTTCAAGTTTCTCTGCTTGGAATAGATGCATTATATTCTATTAAATATGCAAAATGTGTAAGTCATGAAAAGTAGAAGGACTTTCAATAGGAGGTTTTTTTTTTCAGGAGTCTAGAACTAGTTATGCCTGAGAGTTTTATAATGCCTGTACGCAGCATTTGCAGTGGGCAGAATGCATGCACATACGTTATCTATCACTTGGTCCTTTGCACAAGAGCTCCATGTGATACTTGCTATTCTCAGCTTTGTCCAAGATCTAAAATTAGAGCTAGGCTAACATTACATTTCACTTGATTACAAGTCTGACCGAGGATTTTAATCATCCCGGAGCCACACTGAAAACAATTCTCCCTGAAATCCTCTCTCAGCTGGTAGTCACTAACTTTGGGCATGTTAGCTTCTGCATCCACTGACAGTGGTAAGTGTTTTTCAAAAACATTTTTTCCCCATTCTTCACATAGAAAGAGGTTGCTGATGATGACTTCACTGTGTCTGAATTTGCTGGAATGTATAACTGAATTTGGAATTGAATTTAAAAGTCTCTTGTGGGGTTTCATAGTCATGCGTGTAATTGTTTTCCTCTGAAATACTGATTTCCCTCAAAGTTAAGAAGTATTTTTTTGTTTGTTTGTTTTTGGGTTTGTTTGGATTTCTTTTTTCCTTTCTTTCTTTTGCCTTCGGAAAGCAGACTCTCCGGGGTATGTCCTTGCCAAACTGTGTGCTTTTCTATTATCTAATCAAGGTAGAGAACACAATTCTGTGTTGGAGGTAGAAATATATATATATCATTATTGACTTGTTTTCCTCGAAGGGAAATTGGTCACTGTTATAGGAAAGCTGATGGCTGAATGAAGTTCAGTGGCAAACTGAGGAACCCAATGAGCATATGAATGGTTATGTATGTTTTAAAAAATACACATTTACATGTACACACTTGGGATTTTAAAAAATGTTTTATTATGTGATAAACACTTCAAACTTGCTAGAATCTGAGACAATAAATTGTAGGTTGACTGTGATGTCCCCAGGGGTTTGGATTATCAGCATATGTATCCCAAGTTTTCTTGATGGCAAAAAGACCTTGCAGTCCATTTCTGTGGAAACTGCATGCTTTGCTTAAAAATAGAGACCGTTTCCTACTAATTTTCTGCATTGGCAATTAATTATATATCCATCCTAACATTTTAAACATTTTTGTCCTCTGTAATAGAGTTATTCTGCCACCCCCTCTCTGTCTCTGTCTCTCTCCCACACTGCATACTTTTAAGGAAATCAATACTTTAGAGAAGATTAATAATGAAAAGCAATATTCTCTACCCCATTTCTATCACTCTAGAAGTAAGCATTTTAACCATTTCAGGATTTAGTCTTCGGTGGTTATCTCCATAGTTCCTGTTTTGTTTTGTATTTTTTCAAAGGTGGTTATTATTCTTATCAACTTTAGGCATTATCTATGGAACTTCATTGTGAAAGATGATGCTTAAGTTCGCTTACACCTCCATAGAGCTTTATCCTTATTTTTAGTTTCTCCCTTGATTTCCTTTATAACTTGAAACAAATGCTTCAATATCTAGTTCTCATTCCATAAAATACAGTGTCTATGACTCCCCACTTTGAAGATGTGGCTACTAGTGTTCTTTCCTTCTACTTCCCCATGTCCTTCTTACACATTCTATTAAAGTATTTATATTTTCGGGGCGCCTGGGTGGCTCAGTCATTAAGCATCTGCCTTCGGCTCAGCTCATGATCCCGGGTTCCTGGGATCGAGCCCCGCATCGGGCTCCCTGCTCCGCGGGAAGCCTGCTTCTCCCTCTCCCACTCCCACTGCTTGTGTTCCCTCTCTCGCTGTGTGTCTCTCTCTGTCAAATAAATAAAATCTTTAAAAAAATAATTTATATTTTCAAGATGTATTATACTTATTACATTCTGTTCTTTAGCCATAAATAAGTTGTTCTTGCTTTTTTATAGGTTGATTTATTTAAAAAGTTGATTTCCATCACTCAAAAAGAAACTCTGCACTTTAGCAGTCACTCCCTCTTTCCCCCTCTGGAAAGCCCCTGGATATCACTAATCTACCGTTTTTTCTCTATGGATCTACCTATTTGGGACATTTCATATAAATGGGATCATACGTGGTCTTTTGTGTCTGGCTTCGTTCACTTAGCACACTTCATTCAAAGTTTATCCATGATATAGCATGTATCAGTACTTACTCCTTTTTATGGCTGAATAATATTCCATTGTATGGATATACCACATTTTGTTTATCCATTTGTCAGTTGACAGCCAGTTGTTTCCACTTTTTGGCTATTGTGAATAATGCTACTTCAACATTCAGGTAGAAATTTTTGTGTGAACATATGTTTTTATTTCTCTTGGGTATAAATCTAGTTCTAGGTATAGACCCAATAGAGGCAATACCACTTGAGCACCATGAAGATGAGGAAAAGAATTTTGGAAATAATATTGCTCATAATAGCAAAACTCTGGTACCCAAATACCCATATTCATTGGGACAGAAAAATTAAATTATGCCATAGTCATACATTTTGGAGATCATGGCATGTCAGTATATGAAATGTTTTACTTTATGGAGCTATATAATTTCCCATGATATGGATGTACTATAATTTACTGATCAAAAGTTATATTGTGGGATGCCTGAGTGGCTCAGTCGTTTAAGTGTCTGCCTTCGGCTCAGGTCATGATTCCAGGGTCCTGAGATCGAGTCCCACATTGGGCTCCCTGCTTGGCCGGGAGCCTGCTTCTCCCTCTCCCTCTGCCTGCTGCTCCCCCTGCTTGTGCTCTCTCTCTCTGACAAATAAAATCTTTAAAAAAAAAAGTTATATTTTTTCCAGTCTTTTGCTTCTATGAATAACTTTATAATATGTAATTTTAAGATTGAAAATATTTGCATCATAAATTCCTATGAGTATGAATGTACATTTATAAGACTGATGGACATTACCAAATTTCTCTCCATTGAGAAGAACAAATACTACCACCTTTAGTGTATGAGAGCACCTGTTTCCCTACACTGTTGCAAATTTCACTTCTTCTTTTCCAAACTTTATACCTTTCTATTTACTTCCTTTGCCTTGTAGCCATTCCAGTATAATGTTGAATAGTTGTGATTGTGGACATCTTTGACTTCCTGAATTTGGGAAGAAATAATTCAATTAATTGTGAGTCAAATTCTTTCACTATTACCAATACAATTTGATGAGAAATCAGTACAATTATTTGTAAGGCAAATAACATTCCATCAAATGGATCTACCATAATTTACATAACCATTCCCCTATTTGTACTGTCCTTTCCTTTTTGAGATTCAGGTCACAATCCTCAGTATTACACCTGCCCATTTACGATTTATTTTACAAGAGCAAATAATCCCAGTATACTGCCAGTTAACCAAATTCCAGCCTATGCATATAGCATCTAGATTAAGTAGATAGCCCCAAATGCTGGTCTTAAATGTATATATCCATTATTTAATCATTTTCCTAAACTGGGCATGTAAACTAGTTGCGGTTTTTCATTATTGTTAATTACATAGTAGCAAAGGAAGTAGACTTGGCTTCACTTTCCACCTCTGTCACATACTAGACATGAGACCTTGAACAAATTGCCCATCTTTTTTAAGGCTCAATTTTTCATCTGTACATTACACACAATAAAAGCACCCATGGTAGGGCATCTGGGTGGCTCAGTGGGTTAAGTGTCTGCCTTCGGCTCAGGTCATGATCCTGGGGTCCTGGGATCGAGCCCTACATCGGGCTCCCTGCTCAGCGGGGAGCCTGCTACTCTCTCTCTGCCCTCTGTTCCCCCCCACTCATGCTGTCTCTCTCACTCTACTCTCTCTCTCTCTCAAATAAATAAATAAAATCTTTAAAGAAAAAAAACGCATCCATGGCATAGTATTTTTATGAGGATTATTAAGTGAGAGATGATATGTAAAGTGTATAAAAATAGTCTTGGCAACATGGAAAGTGTTCAATAAATATAAGCTATTATGATCATTTCTGGATTCAATGACCATTCTGAAACACGTTTTTTTCTCCGCTACAATTAGGTCCTTTTTGAGATGGCATCTGTGATTCAGCTATTCAGAATCTAATGAAGTTGGTGACTCTGTGACAATGTGGAGAAATCATGTCAGAAAATGCAGTTTGTACTGGGGCTGTCAGTGCTGTGAAGGAAGTTTGGGAAGAAAGAATAAAGAAACACAATGAAGACCTGAAGCGAGAGAAGGAATTTCAACAGAAGTATGCTTTAACATGTTTGTTATTTTGATTTAGTGAAAATTCAGAATATCATCATTATAGAAAAGAGCACTTATTAAATGCCTTATTGTTGAATTTGATATTTTTATTTACTGAAAACTCAAAATATAACTAAAGGATACACCCGATTTAATTACGTGTGGCTATGTGAGGGTGGCTGCAAAAAATACAAGTGTCTGTATGTGAAAATAGTAGTTATCTTCAGGCCCTCATAGGAGTCTGTTCAACATTCCTCAAAGTTTGATTAGTGTCTTTTAGTCCACTTTTCAGTGATTGCTCGTTCAGTATTATATCCTGTAGATACTAAAGCAACATCTGGCAATAGAAGGTACCAGAGATTCTCACCTACTTGAACAGCTGTGAGTTTCAGCCAGGGTCCCTGTGGGTCACCTGATTCCTTGATTTGGGCTATACTTAAATAGTTTGGCTCTCATTTCCTCTGCCTTCTTGATATCTCCCTATTTTCCTGATTGGATGTCTCCAAAGCATTCTATTAATCTTGCAAGAAGAGCCACTTTCCTTATGGATCCCTATGATTCTCATTCACCAGGTCTCTTTCTAAATATTAAATTGTCTTTTTGTCTTGCAACATATATAAATATTGGACCATTAATAATGTTATATGTCAATTATATCTCAATGGAAAAAATGCTCCTGTGTCAGTTAACAAGTACCATAAAATTCAACTAAGAATGGCTTAAGGACTAGGGAAGTCCTGAAGCAAGGCAATCCCAAAGCCTGAACAGCTTTAAAGACTCGGTTTCTTTTTATCACCTTCTACTGCTAATCTCAGTGTGTCAGTTTGGTCCTCAGGTTCCCTCTGTGAGTGTCACAGGATGGCTGGTCCACTTCCAGGCATCACAGCTAGGCATCATTATGTTATCAGAAGAGTGGAAATGATTTCTGTTTCTTCAAGAATGAGGAAGCCTTTCTGGGCGCTTTAGGAAACCTCTCCCTCAGCTCTCATTGACCAGAACTGGGTCATTTGGACTCCCTTAATCCAGTCCCCTTCTAGGGGAATGAGACTGTATGATTGGTTTAAACAAATTAAGATTTATACCTGCGTTACTTGGGGGAAGTACAAATGCTTGAAAATAACAGCTATTCTCCCAGTAAAGAAGAGGGGGAAAGGTTCTTAATCAGCAATTATTTTGTGTCTGCTCTCTGTAAAAACAAAAATCTGGATGGGGAGGGACTATTCTTTCCAACCAAAGCCAATAAAAAGGATAATGATGCTGACAGTGAAGAGGGTAGCAGCCATTTATTGTGCACTTACTGTTTACTAGGCACTCTGCTAAGTGTTTTATTTGTACTATCTCATTTAATCCTCTCAACACACTGAAACAGAGTGTCTTGATGAGGATTATTTTGCATTATGAGAGAAGGAAAACCAAAATAATGTTTTCTTTTTTAAAAATTTTTAAAAAGATTTATTTATTTGAGAGAGAGTGGGGAGGGGGGTGAGGGACAGAGGAAGAGGGAGGAAGAGAATCCCAAGCAGACTCCTCGCTGAGGAGGAAGCCGGATGCAGGGCTTGATCTCACAACCCTAAGATCATGGCCTGAGCTGAAATTAAGAGTCAGATGCATAACTGACTGAGCAACCCCAGTGTCCCCAAAATAATATTTTCTAAACAAGATATGTTAACTTTTTTGGATATTTGATCTGGGGCTGGAATAGCACTCCACTGAGTCAAATACTCAGGCTTTTATCTTGTTGCTCAACTGTGCATGGCTTCCATTCCTAAAGTCACTTAATGGCCCCAAATGATACACCAACTGCAGCCAACATATTTGATCCCAGCTAGCAGGAAGTTGCACCCACTCCTACTTCTGCTAACATCCCAGTTATATGAATCATATCTAACTCCAAGGGAGGATGACTAAATGAAGTCTTCAGCCCAGTTAAATTTAGAGGCTCTATTATTGAGGAAGAAGAGGAGTATCAGTCTCTGCCACACATGAGTGTTCATTTTCTCCCTTTTAAAGATGGAAAACCTGGGGCGCCTGGGTGGCTCAGATGGTTAAGCGTCTGCCTTCGGCTCAGGTCATGATCCCAGGGTCCTGGGATCGAGCCCCGCATCTGGCTCCCTGCTCAGTGGGGAGCCTGCTTCTCCCTCTCCCATTCCCCCTGCTTGTGTTCCCTCTGTGTCTCTCTCTGTCAAATAAATAAATAAAATCTTAAAAAAAAAAATGTTAAAGATGGAAAACCTGAGGGATAGGCCTAAGTAACTTGTCAAAGATCACACTGCTAATAAATGTGGAACTGGTATTCATACCTACGCAGTCTGATTCAGGAGGCATAATATTCACCTTAGGTCTTTCCCTAGATTGGTCCTTTATATATAAAGCTACTCTTATGAAATCTATTATGTTTGTATTCTATAGTTATGATAAACTTGACTTCAGAGGACTCTTAATAAATCCTATCCCTTTTTTAAACAGTGGGCAGGGCAGGAATCCTGACTTGCTTCTAAACTCCTGAACTTCACCTATTACACATGTTTAGTTAAGAACCATTTAATTGGGGCACCTGGGTGGCTCAGTTGGGCATCCGACTCTTGATTTTGGCGCAGGTCATGATCTTAGAGTTATGGGATCTAGTCCCTCATTGACTCTGCTTGAGATTCTCCCTCTCCCTCTGCCCTCCCCTGCCCCTCATGCATGCGCTCTCTCTCTCAAATAAATAAATAAATAGATAAAATCTTTAAAAAGAAAAGAATAATTTCAGCAGCTTCACGTTCTCTCTCTACAAAATAGGCAAGGGATAGAAAAGGTTAAGGATGTAAACTAATGCTGCTTTTCTTGGCTAAATGTGGCTAAAGATTTATTTCAAAAAGCCTAAAGTTTAAACAGAAATTGACCCCATTGTCTTTTGATGCCAAGCTGTCTTGAAGAAATCAAACACTTGGGTAAGAGTTGGTGTGGCAAAATCTGGGAAAGCGTTTAGACTATAATAAGAGGGTTTCATAGGAGGTAGAAAATTTCTATTTAAAATTGAAAGAACATCAAGCTTAGACTAAATAATGGATGAATTACAGAACACTAGAGCTGGAAGAGACCTTAGACATTATTTAATCCAAACCCCATTGTAATGGCAAGGCCCACAGAGGTGGTATGAATTGCCCATGGTCACCAAGTTAAGTGATGCATTCGGACTTAGATCATAGAAATTTAGATCCAGAAAGAACTTAAGAATCATTATAGAGATGGAGAGATACTAGCTGAGTAATAGTTAGCCTCACTGTAAACTCATTAAGGACAGAGCTTTTTGCCTGCACAATGTGCAGCATAGCATTTGGCATGTAATGGTTGCTTGATGAATTCTTTAAGTAAAAGTTTAGGGAATAAGACATCTAATTGCACTTGTCATTAAATCTTGTTCTGAAATACATAGATCTTTTTGGCAAGTGACTATTCAAATTAATTAAACCTATGTTCTTTGATAACTGCTTATATTTCTTTATTACGTATCATTCTAAGAGGCTAACATTGCAAAGATTTCAATTCTAAACTTATTCTTTCTCATTTCTCATACATTAAAAATTTTCTAGTGTAGAAATAAAAAAAAACCTTTGCAACCTTATACTAGTCATTTTCATAGCTTGATATTATTCTTATGTATGTTTTCAATGAACCAAAAATCAATAGGAATGTGTTTCAGAATGACAAAGGTTTTATGCATTTTTATATCTGAAAAATGAAATCTGAATAAAATTGGAATATAATCATATAACTTAACTCTGAAGTTGAACTGTATTATTTGCAAGTCATTATAAAGTTATTAACTATCTATGGATTAGATGTCTAATAAATGCAAGTTGAAAGGACAGTGAGATACCACTTCACGCTCACTAGGATGGCTATGATTCGAACCATGGACAATAACAAAAGTAGACAAGGATATGGAGAAATCAGAAGCCTCATGTGCTGCTGGAGGGAAGGTAAAATGGTACAAGCAATTTGGACACAGTTTAGTAGTTCCTAAAAAAAAAAAAAAGTTAAAAATAGAGTTATAATAGGATGCAGCAATTCTTCTCCTAGGACTATACCCAAAATAAAGGAAAACATATGTCTGCATAAAAACTTGTTCACAAATGTTCATAGTAGCATTATTCATAATAGCCAATAAGTGGGATTAACCCAAATGTCCATCAGCTGATGAACAGATAAACAAAATGTGGTATATTCATGCAGTGGAAGATGATTCTTCTATAAAAAGGAATATAGTACTGAAACATGTTACAGCATGGGTGAACTCTGAATAAACTTACACTACGTGGAAAGACCACATACTGTATAAATATGAAATGAAATATGAAATGTCCAGAATAGGCAAATTCATAGAGATAGAAAGATCAGTGGTTACCAGGGGCTGGGAAAGGGAGGAATGGGTGTGGCTTTTTATTTTATTTTTTAAAGTTTTTAATTTAATTCCAGTTAGTTAACATACAGTGTTGTATTAGTTTACGGTGTACAATATAGTGATTCATCAATTCCTTACAACACGCAGTGCTCATCACAAGCGCACTCCTTAATCCCCATCATCTATTTAACCCATCTCCCACCCATCTCCCCTCTGGTAACCATCGGTTTGTTCTCTGTGGTTAAGAGTCTGTTTCTTGGTTTGCCTCTTTCTCTCTCTCCCCATCCCTTTGCACATTTGTTTCTTAAATTCCACATATGAGTGAAATCATATGCTATTTGTCTTTCTCTGACTTATTTCGCTTAGCATAATATTCTCTAGCTCCATCCACATTGCTGCAAATGGCATGATTTCATTCTTTTTTATGGCTAATATCCCGTGTGTGTGTGTGTGTGTGTGTAGGTATATATACACACATATGTTTATGCATATACATATATATGCATCTGTATATATACATACATGTATATGTGTGTATGTATATGTATTACCACATCCTCTTTATCCATTCATCAGTTGATGGACACTTGGGCTGTTTCCAAAATTTGGCTGTTGTAGATAATGCTGCCCTTTGAACTGGTATTTTGTATTTCTTGGGTAAATACTTAGTAGAGCAATTGCTGGATTGTAGGGTAGCTCTATTTTTAACTTTTTGAGGAAACTCCATACTGTTTTCTAGAGTGGCTGCACCAGTTTGCACTGGGTGTGGGAGTCTTTTTGAATGATGAAAATGTTTTGGATCTGATAGTGGTGATAGTTGAGCCAACTCTGTGAAAATATCCAAAACCATTGAATTGTATACTCTAAAAGGATTAATTTTATGCTATGTGAATTATGTATAACTCAATAAAGCTATTAGTTAAATCTATGGAGTTATGACACTTTTCAAAACTTAAATATAGGGCTTTATGATTCGAATCATATTTATAATTCTTACAAAACAACTTCTTTTCTGATTTCTAGATACTATCGATCAAATGGTTTTTTTTTTTTAAGATTTTTATTTTATTTATTTGACAGAGAGAGAGAATGTGAGAGAGGGAACACAAGCAGGGGGAGTGGGAGAGGGAGAAACAGGCTTCCCACCAAGCAGGGAGCCCGATGTGGGGTTCGATCCCCTGAGCCGAAGGCAGACGCTTAACGACTGAGCCACCCGGGTGCCCCAATCAAATGGTTGTTTTTGACGGATCACTTTTTATATAAAAGTGAATGCTACCTATGTATGTTGTTACTGGCGAATGTCTGCTCTCTTAGGCTAGTGCGGATCTGGGAAGAACGAGTACGCTTAAGCAAGCTAAAAGAAAAGGTCATCAGGGAAAATGGAAGAGTCATTTTGAAGATAGAGAAAGAGGAATGGAAGGTAAGCTTCATAGAAGTAATATTTGATTTTCTGTATTTTACGTTTTGTGGGAGAGTTGAGAAAATGATTCTGAGACTGTGTGATTAAGTCCAGAATAGTTAGAAATTCTAATGTTAATAATACACCAAATGAATTTGGGCAACATGAACAACTGAAAAGAAATATAACTTCACATTTTTTTGGTAAAAACTCAGTCAGTTTTCTTCAACTCTGCCTAAACATAAGTCATTTGCATTTTTTCTCCTACTAATCCGACTAGTAAGCAACTTCTCATTTCCATAAAAAAGATGACCATCTGCCTAACAAAAATCATATAGCTTTTCCAAAACAAATGCCCAGCTAAAAGTCCACAAAATGGAATAGGATATTCATTTTTTTCGAGGGCTACTACCTGATTCATACTCTCTCTCATAAATACACACACACACACACACACACACACACACACACACACAGAGTTTGCTTAATTACATTAGGCATGCTCTAATTTTTATAAGGGTATCTATACCTTGGGTCAGTGTTTGTTTTCATACATGTAGGTATAGTTAGCTAGCAGGTTATTTTCTCTTTGGGCTATTTTAGGTTGAAAGGGAAAAGGTGTAAAGTTCAGAAAGGTTGAAACTCTTAAAATCTTTATAAAAAAAATCTGTAAAAAACTTACAAAATATTTCAAAGAGAAATTTGAATTATTGACTAAAATGATTTTTTGTTTCTCTAACCACCACATTCTCATTTTCAACTATATATGTTCTCTAAAAAAGCCTAATACAACAATATATTTAGAACATTGTTATATGGGTGTGCACTATTGACCAAAATACATTATCTTTGTTTATTCTGATTGGGGTTTGAAGGTTTAGTACCTGTACCCCCAAAGTAAAGTTCTTAAAACTTAGAAGTAACACAAAGCACTTGGAAATATAACCCATTAAGGAAAAAATATTCCAAAGTTCTTTTACAAATCAAGTAATATCGCTACAATTATACTTCAGTATGACATGATACTAAAATAATTTAAGTAATATAGTAATTCTGTCATTTCTTTTACTTGAGTTTAGACCCTCCCTTCTTCTCTACTGAAATTGAATCAGCTACAGGAATGGCAACTTCATAGAACTGGTTTATTGAAAATTCCTGAATTCATTGGAAGATTCCAGAACCTCATTGTATTAGATTTATCTCGAAACACAATTTCAGAGATACCTCGAGGAATTGGTAAGGAAGATTGCTTTTATTCCCGGGTTTTTTACTGAGAATTTTTTTGATACATGGAATAATGTAGCCCCGAGTCTTGAGAAAATTGTAGACATCTAAATGGAAGCTTCCAGAGGACCCAAGTTTCTGGAATTTACAGAAGTGATTCAAGATAAGATTTCAAGGCAAGGAAAGTCCCTTGGGAAACATTGTATAGATTCTGGAAACAATGTGTCTTGTTCAGTTAATCCTCCTAGAAGAGAACAGGTTGAAGGCAAGAAAGAAAGACTCCTTGGATGAGAAAAAAAATCCCTAAATGGAAAATTGGCCATGATATAGGAGATAAAACAAGATGAAAAAAAAACACCATATTTTTTGCTTATAGCACTGATAAACCTCCTATCTTTAGAGGGGATAGGACACACACTGGGAAAAGGGAAGAACCTGGGAAGTTTGATTTGCCAGTATGAAACTGGCAAGTAAGTTATGCTGTAATAAATAACTGAAAACATTATTTTATATCCATCTGCTATCTATCGTGTATTATTTTTTTGTAGGACTTCTCACTAAACTTAAGGAGCTGATTCTTAGTTACAACAAAATCAAGACTATCCCCAGGGAAATAAGTCATTGTGCCAGCTTGGAGAAACTAGAACTTGCTGTAAACAGAGACATCTGTGATCTTCCACAAGAGGTCAGAAAGACATAAATGTCTATGACTTATTGTCCACCTAATACTGGTTTACTTCTCAGCTGTGTGATTGCCAAAAATAACACTAATGAAGAAATGCTATAGATTTTATTTCAGAAAATATTTAGTGATTATCATTTCCTATTATAACACATATTTTTAATTAGAGAAATATCTATTTAGCATAAAAGATGCAGTACTGACATCATTTGTGATCTCCTTGAAGGCCAGAGTAAGAGTCTTATTTATTTCTATCTCCAGAATTGAAGGCACAGCCTAAGTTGTAGTTGTAACTTAATAAATGCTTAGTGAATAAATGATTATCACAAAGCACAGACAATGTGGTGATGGAAAAACTCTTTTTTTTTACTAGTTGGTGTTTATAGAGTGATCAGTTTTTGAAATAGAGGTGAAGTGGTAAGAAATGAATTCTTCAGTTTCAGAAAAGTGTTTCTTTGCTAGTTTCTTAGGCTCTGCTGAGTAAAAGAAAGCAATGGGTTTGCAAAGCCTTCAAATTTTGATTTGGTATGATGACTTGTTATTAGTAAAACCAAGCTGATCATAGTGATAGAGACACTTTCAAACATCCTTCAAACATATTTAATGATCTTACAATCAGCAAAGAAAATTTCCAAGGTATTGACTTTGCAAGATGAAAGTTAAGAAACATAATTAAAACTCAAAACAAAATAGACTATTCCTTTCTCCCATTCTCCACTATTTTTGGTGAGAATATCACTTTTTTTCCCACACCAGTAAATATGTCACCAATTGTTGCTCTTGCAAGTAAAACATAGTTTCTACATTTATATCTATCTCATCTTTGAATAGTTCAACTTAATGAAATGTATGTACTTATTTATGATGAAAATGATGATCATAGGGACAATTTCTTTATATCTACAAGAGGTCCAATAAATATTTTATTTTGAACTTCTAATTCTTGTGATTTTCTTTCTGGGATTGGTTCCATCACTAAAAACGCTGTATGAATTTGGGCATGTCTATTAACCTGTGTTTTCCTTAACTTTTTCACATAAGAAACAGGTTTTACTGAAACAAATATTGAACTGAAATCTTGACCCTGGGATTATTTCCAAGAATGGCTTCTAAATTAGCTGTGAAGCCTTGAACTCACCACTTTACATAAAGAGGTCTCAGTTTTCACATATGCAAAATAAAGACTGTTATTATAATAATGTGAATATCTTTCAATATAAAATCAAAGGGTTCTAGTACGACTCAGAAATCAGTAACAGGAAGAGACTTATGTCTCAGCCACTACGCTGCACACACTGTACACACACAAACATATTTATGCCAATTGAAAACGATCTTTTTATACTCCATTCTAAACCATATGAAAAATTTTGAAGTCTGATTTTGAAAAAGTATTTTATTCATGGCTTGAATTCTAAAGCTTGGACAAAGATTACCTACCAAATGGAAACCTGCTTTTTTGCATTACCCACAAAACACTGCATTTGTGGGTTGTTGTTTTTTTTTTTGTGTGTGGTGTTAAAGATATGGAACGAATCTTAACATTCCCTGAGATAATAAAACAGAACTTGCCTAGATAAAATAGAAAGCTTTTTGGAAAAGTTAACTAAATTCTCACATTTTGAAACTTTCACTACAGTGTTATATGGAAAGAGTTTAGAAATTTTGTGGCTTTAGGTCCATGAAAACTTTGAGTGCACATCACCCATCATTTCTAGTTACATGGTCTTTCTCAACCATTCTGTCTATAAAATAGAAATAAGATACTCATCTTGTAAAGTTGATGAATAAACTAGAGTTGTAAGCATCAACATGAATACATTGAGTCACTGATATTAAGAGAAAAAAGCAAGTTAAGGGAAGTACAGTATCATAATCTTCAAATAAAAGTACTAAATTTTGTTTATGAAAACATATAATAGTAATTACAGAGAAATATTGAAAAACATGTATTTATGTATAGTAATGAAAACAAGAAAACATGCACAGGAATAATAAATACCAAATTCAGGAGAGGGGTTCCCTCTGGAAAGGAAGAAGGGAGGAACACATAGGAGGCAGTCATAGCAATATATATATATATATTTTTTTTTTTTTAAAGATTTATTTATTTGAGAGACAGAGTGAGTGGAGGAAGGGGCAGAGGGAGAGAATCCCAAGCAGACTCCCTGCTGAGTGCGGAGCCCGACGGCAGGGGTGGGGTGGGGTGGACATCTCACCACCCATGAGATCAGGACCTGAGCCAAAACCAAATCACTTAGCCGACTAAGCCACCCAGGTGCCCCTGAATACATTTTCTTTCTTAAGCTGAGCACACTGGTGTTGGGATATCATTCTTAATAAACTTTTATTGATGTTTTCATTGAGAAAATAGAATTACCAAACAGTAAATGCTATGACTGAGATAGCATATGTAAAATATCAGGCACAAAAAAGAAGGTTCAATAAAGAGAAGTATTATTTTGAAGTTTGGGTTTTCCCATATAAATCTCAAATGCAGGATGAAAGGAAAATACAAGCAAACACAAGCAGGTTCTATAAGTGCTGGAACTTGGGTATTTGGAAGATAAATTTTCTTTGAATAGATGAGCTTTCTATAAGTTTTTCATTTCTCTGGAGGTTATTTAGCTTTATTTTTATTTCAAAGTTATTGTGGACGATGACTAAAAAAAAGCCCAAGCATAATGTGAACATTCCTTGATGTGAAAAAGCGCTACTAATGTGAGTGTTCTAAGAGTTTACATTGTGGACATCCATTTTGAAAAAGCTTGCTTGCCTTTTCAGCTCAGCAATTTGTTAAGGCTTACGCACCTTGATTTGAGTATGAACAACTTTACTACAATCCCTCTGGCTGTGTTGAACATGCCTGCTCTTGAATGGCTCGACATGGGGAGCAACAGACTTGCACAACTTCCTGATACCATAGAAAGGTAAATATATAATTTTCTGTGCTATTAACAGATGTGTTGAAGTCATCCATCATAAATAACAAAGGGGACCCCAAGCATAATCAATCACAAGAGACCCATGAGGTACTAAATATGCTACTTTTTAACAATGTTTTCATTTACTTAAGTATAAGGGCTCTGGGAGAGAAAAACTGGCTCTCTGACTTCAACATGCTGACACGAATATGCCACACAGTAACAACATTACTTTGTGCATGCCAGGCCCTCTGTGGGCTTTACAAATGGGTGAAAACTAATGTAGAGATGTAAATTGCTCAAGATCACAGTGTTAAGTGTGAACCTAGGCAGCCTGGCCCACAGTCCATGCTGTTAACCATTATGCATACTTGTCTTACCCAAATAGGCATATTCATAGTTTCTTATTTTTCTCCTAACACTCTAGTTCAGACTAGATAACATTTATAGCTGTTCTTTAAGAACTCCTATGAGAATAGTGAAGAATTCTAAAATATGTTGGTTTCCTTTCTACTACCACATGCTGAGAAGTGTACTGTAGGGATTAACCCTCCAATGCAGTTTCCCTAATAATCAGGTAACGTGAAGTCGGTTAACTCAACTGGTACACTGGTTAAAGGAGATGTTATGAAAGATGACATTTGTTTCATTTTAGGTTAATAAGAACCAGGGTTTTCATATTATGTATGATTAATCACAGAAATCTCTTTTAATTCATCAGAATGCAGAGTCTACATACATTATGGCTGCAACGGAATAAAATAACGTGCTTGCCAGAAACAATCAGCAATATGAAAAATCTGGGTACTCTTGTACTCAGCAACAATAAACTGCAAGATATTCCAGTGTACATGGAAGAGATGACCAATCTGAGGTAAAAGTTGTACACACAAAACTGACATGTTCCTTTCTGGCTGCAGAACAAGGTAATACAGAGAAATTGTTATTAATGGATTTGAGTTCTCATTCATATGAATGAATACATTTAAAAATTTTTCCAACTTTGCAATTCTATAATTTATAAGTAGGATTCATATAATACTGGCCAAAATTATTCAAGAAAGAATTCTTGAAACAAAAGCCATACCGGGATTATGGGCTTTCAGGAATGCCCTCAGTTGGTGACATTTTTATGAAAATCGTCTTTGGAACTGCTAACAAACCTCTTCTACAAATAAAAACCAAAGGCATAAAAATAGTGCTTATTTTCCTTCTAAATGACTACAGTGGACACAGGCAATTATGTGGATAGAATAAATACAACTTTTTACTAAGTTAATTACTCTCAGAACTCCCTCAAGTGTTCCTTCCAAAATTTAATTTCCTGACAGAGAATGTAAGAGAATTCACATCAAATCCCACAACTTCCATAACAAAATCATTCATTCACCTATTCAGCAACTGCTGAGTCCTGCACTCGATGAAGGTACAGTGATGTATAAGACACAAGTCTATAAAATATGCAGAAACTTCACCATATTAAATACATGCTAGGGACTAACAGTTGCTTCTATAAGCTTTGAAAATGAGTTGTCTAAAACTAGTGTTTTTTTTCTTCTGGAAAAGAAACTTAAAAGATTCTTAGGATTTACTACATTTCACCAAAATGTTATTGAAACCAGTTAAAAAAAAAAGTAATTTAGTGTATTATCATTTGATCTTTCCTCAGAAAAATAAATGTACACTTCTATGGCATCTATAAAAATATTGTTTTTTGGTGAACTGCTAGGTTTGTCAACTTCAGAGACAACCCACTGAAACTGGAAGTAACACTTCCTCCCAGTGAAAGCATAGATGAAGAAGAGGAACGGGAATTATTTGGCCTTCAGTTTATGCATGCATATATACAGGAGTCCCGGAGAAGAGCAGGTATGGCATTTTTATATAACACATGTCAAATATTTGGTAGAGGAATGTGTGTATATATATAGATTCCTTTATAGATTTCTCATTCCATCTTACCTTTTCTGTCAAATTTTGTCTTTTGGTCAGTATTGTTGGAGGAAAAAAAGTGAAATTCCAATCTTCACAATTTTGATAAAGGCTTAGAGAGAAATTGTGAAGATACTGAAAGTTTTTCAAGTGGTGACAGGAAATAAATTTCTTTGGCCAAGTACCTGAAGCACAACCAAGGGAAGATGTGATTTTTTAAAAAGATTTTATTTATTCATTTGAGAGCGAGCGAGCACAAGCTGGGGGCTGGGTGGGGGGGCAGGGGAGAGGGAGAGGGAGAAGCAGAGTTCCCACTGAGCAGGGAGCCTGACGCGGGGCTTAATCCCAAGACCTTGAGATCATGACCTGAGCCGAAGGCAGACACTTAACCATCTGAGCCACCCAGGTGCCCCTGAAGATGTGATTCTTAAAGCTTCACTACCTCATTCTATCAGTTTGTCATATATTTCAGTGTACTCATGAACACTACCTTCCCTGTCATTTCCTCTTTTTCTATAATCCACAAATAGCAACATAATATTTTGCCTAGGAATGAAAAATATTGAGAACAGATTTTTAACCAATAGTTAAAATGTGAGGTTTTGATATATAGATTTCAATCACTCAGTCTCAATTAAGAATTAAACCACTTTTTCAGTAAAGGAAAGCCTTTAACTTAAACCAAGATTATAAGAGGCCAAAGAGACAATTCTATTAAGAAAAACAATGAAACAATAGTATAGTAATAGAAATCATTTTATAATGCACTAAAACATGAAGAGTTTTTGAATCAAAAGGTCAGATTTAATTTATCTTCTAAGATAGCTGCTTTGGGGAATGAGTATAATCCAAGCAACAAATGGCAGTGTTTTAGCTAGAAGGAATCATTTTTACCAACATCCAGTGGCAGATATTAGGAAATGGTCATCTAATCTGTGGTAGCAAGTCACAGAAACAATAGCATGGAAAATAGATTGGAGGATGACAAGTAAAGTTAGTTTGGGGCCTAGTTCAGGGTATAAATACATAAAAAACAGGTAGTAGATAGAATTGGTGATTGAATGATGGGAAATGAGAGGACTCTAAGATTAATCTGTTTTTGGTTAGAGCAACCGGATGGATGGTGATGCTGAGATGAGGTGGTAGAAGTGGAAGATAAGGAAATTTGACATAGTTGTGGGACATGTGGGAAGAGGTAGTTGTGTAGGTGAATTTGAAAGTTCAAGAAGGGGTTTGCTGTCCCTATAAAATCTGGCAGGTCAAGGAATAGCAATATACATATCCCACATAGTTACTTTTTTATGATATCTTAAGGGAAGTAAACAAGGTTGGGGAAAACAAGAATCTTGACCTATAGCTTGTTGAAGGGTAAGCTTATCCGCCCATAAAATACTTGGTACCATTGTCAGAAACATCATGAAGCTAAATGGGCACAGGACTATTATCAGTATAACTATTGCGTGTATGTGTATGTTTTGTGAAACATAGTTGAGATTATGCCTGTTGTAGAATATTTTTTATTCCTGGGCATAAATTGTTGAATGATGCAAAACAGATTGTATGACACCAATTAGCATTGCCTGACCCAGTAAAATCACGGAAATTATTGAATGATGTATATTACCCTTTATTTATGTTCTCTTGATTGGGCAGCATGAGTAATTAACTTTAGAAATAATCAAACTACCTTACTTTAATAATATTTGACATGGAACTTATAAAAAGAGAAAAAAGGTTACAACTTAAGCAGAGATAATTAAACCAAGTTTGCCTATTGTCATTAAAAATAGATTTGTGAATTAGAATTATTAATGTATTTATTGAGTACTTACACTGTGCTTGGAGCTGTTTTAAGCATTTTACATCTGTTATCTCATTTGTTACAAAACCTTGTGAGGTAGGTAGTATTATTATTATCTTCATCATCCTCATTTTAAAAAGGGGAATAAAGGCACAAGGAGATTAAGTAGTGGCCCAAGGTCATACACTAAGGTGGTAGGGCAGGATCTGAACCTACGCAGTCTCATAAAACACAGGAGATTAAAGCAGAAAAGCAGGAACTAAAAATGCGCTAGGCTTCTATTTTATAATTCATGTACTCATAGATCTAGTTATAGGATAAAAAAGTTACCTAAGAATATCATTATAGTACCTAAAATTATTAATTCTGATCTTTGTCTTGGCAAAGGTACCAATGATTAAGACAATTTTTACAAATAAAGACAGAAATAAATGAAGGATAACATGAAGACAGTAACAGTCCTTACCATATGTTTGGATTAATATTTGCTTGTGCACAGAAACCGCTTATGAGTTAAATAAGGCCTAAGTGTGAGGTGGTTTTGGTTTCATTATCTAATTTCCATTTTATTCCAAATTATTTTCTCAAACAGGGGAGAATATATAGTTGTGCTTATATGTACAAAAATGTCCTTTTAAAAGATATGATACCTAATTAACTTCAGAAGTTATTTGCAAATTTCAATTTAATTTGTGAATGAGGCTTATAAGTTATCTTTTTGGAAGTTCGAACTAGATAATTATTCAATTAAAAAAATGAAGTGAAACAGTTCATTTCCCTTGAAAACTATCTCTTCACTTTTGCTGTTTGTCATGGATAAATTCAGAAATACATAAATACATGTATGGCTCTGGAAATCTGAAGGTGAATTCATTAATTGATTATGAACATCTCTGAATTTCTTTGCATTAGGAGAAACAAATCACAATAGATTATCCTTTCCAGATTGGAATGGACCAAAAAAAATCCATATATAAGCCAAGTTCTCAGACTTGCCTTTGTTACAAATGGACAACTGATCATACATCTTGAACTTGAGAAGTAAAAAGTACTAAATAAATTTCCAAAATTAATACAAATAAGAAAGCTAATGTGCTAGTTGTGTATTGATGTGTTATGTGTGTTTCAGATAACCAAGTCAACTGTTCAACTACTTTACCAAGCTCTATAAATACTGATGGATAATATAACTCAAGATGCCCTGCTGAAGAGAATTACTTTGAGAATTTGGTGAATTTGCTAACATTTGGACTTCTAAGTAAAAAACAAAGCTATAACCGAAGTTCAGTGAGGCCACAACATTTTTTAAAGTTCATATCTCTGCTACGTAAAGTATATTTTATGAATATAAAAATACAATTAAAAAATTTTTTTTTGGTGGAAGACAGATGTTCACAATTTCTTTTCCATTAAGCAGTTGTTTCTGGTGATGAAGAATGATTTGGTAAAGCAGTTAACAATACATTTTCCAAAGATACCAGAGGATCTGTATAATACTGTAAAGCAGGACTGAATCCTTTCTGCTGTAAATACTCGACTCGGCCTTGGTCAATCAGCAATTTACAAAGATGCCCTATTTTCTTCTTTTCTTCAACAGTAAGGAACCTAAACCGAATAATCACAAAACATCGTTAAAATGTGTAAAAGTTTACAAAAAATTATTTTAGTCACTTCTATTTATTGATAAGTTCCTAACTAACCTGCAATATACTAAGTGCTATGTCCCATGCTTCCAAGATATGTTTTATTTTTGCCACAATAAAAGTGTATTTCAAGGTACTCTAAAATTGGATGGTAAAATGCATGTTCATGGATAGATTTTTGGGGACATTTATCTAAAAAGAAAGTCCAGCAATAACAAAACATTTCTGCCCCGGTGTCGTGCATTTCCAAGTAGTCACTTACCCAGGGACACTCTCGGTGCTTTCATCCGTGATTCTGCATCCCCCGTCATCATGCTCTTCACTGTCACCATTCTGCTTATCTTTTCTCTTTGTGGTAAGATTGGAGGCTTCCAAAGATGTTTTTCGCATCCCACAAGTCGCCCAACTACTCATTCGCTGGAAGTAGTGGAATTCCACTGCTCCAAGGCCTAGAGCCCTGAAATACTCTTTGCCCACATAATGTCTCCAATCACACCTGTGGTGACAACAGAGTGCAATAACAATGCCAGCCACAGGGCTCCACTTCTCTGGGACATTTTTCTCATTTCCTTCCTTGGCCAAAGTGTTAATTTCTTTCTCTGTTTTATCATTCTTTATGCGTTTGGCTAAAGGTTCTTCAGTCCTTTCCTCACAACTGGCAGCATAGGTTTCAACCAAACATCGTAATGCAAGATCTGCAAACACAATTATGTGGCCCCCCCCAAACCACATCATCTTTAAAAATAAGTATTTTTTTACATTTATTCAGCAGTATGGTTTCTAAAATCCCAACAACAAAAACCTGCTTAGCTTTATACTTGTAATAACTCTTCCATGAATTATCAATTTTGTTCATATTTGCTGTTTTCTCATTAGCATCTCATTTTCTCTAACGATTTATTCTACTTCCCCAAACAACTGGTTGAAGCTTAAGGTCTACAGTCTGTAAAAACTTTAGTCCAACTACTCAACTTGGCTCTCATTTCTCCTACTCTAGCTGAGGAAAGGACTTGTATAGAAAAAAATCATTGATCTACACTTACATGCCAGGGAAGTTTTGAGTTTAAGAAACCCAAAGAAAAGAAAGAAGGGAAAGGCATCTGCTTAGACTGATGTTAGGTGTCAGTCCTGAAACATATGATGTTCACAGCAAATCCTGATGAGCTGAAGAGTTGATAAGAGGGAGTCATTCTGTGGGAAGTAGGCCTCACTGAGCAGGCTTACAGTATTTATGCATTCATTCCGCAATTAGTTACTGAATGCCTTTCACGTGCAAGCTTTGCAAATGTAACGATGATTATACACATAAACTTCGAGGTGGATGTACTCCACATTAAAAAGAAAAATTTAAACTTAAAAGCTAAACAAGTAGATTTTTTGATGACTATGACTATTTCCCAGTGAAGACTGCTCTATGGTTGACAATATTTGGAAGACCCCAAATATATACTGTAAAAATGTATTTCTTGTCTGATTAGACCAGCATGCTGTGCCTAGTCAGTCAAAAACATATATATTTTAAAATTTTATTACCCTAAGATGTCACCAGTGACTATTAAATGACTTAATATTTCACTAGTAAATTTAATTCAATATATGAGTTGAAGTCAATAAACACTGGGAGAAAGGAATAGCTAATCTACTATTTCAAAAGCTATTGTTTTCTGACAAAATATATTCAGTCAGTTTTATTTATATTTGACTTAAGTAAATGATTTTCAGAAACATGAATAACCAGAAAAATTATTAAAAGAATGAAGTAATTTTAGAATCAGAAGGAGCTTTAACAATCTATTTTAACCCCTCCTTTTACAAAGAACTTAAAGGACAATGTGACATACCAAAGAAAGGGACCAGGAAACACAGCAAATTGGTGGTCAAGATCATTCATTCATTCACTCAAATGCTTACTGTTTCTATTATATGCCAACCAAAGTGTTAGCACACTCCCCTGTGCTCAACAAATTCACAGCAAAGTGGGAGAATTAGAATTATATAATAAAAAAATAATTAAAATACCATAAGGTAGCTATGTGGATGCAATTATGATAAACACTAAGAAAATTAGAAACTGACAGAGTATAGTACATGGGAAAAGTACACAGGGTTTCAGTTTGCTGACCAGCAGAGCTGCAGGCAGGAAGCGGCAAAGGCTGGAAAGCACAGGCCAGACTGACAGCCGGTCCTCCTGGTAAAGAGCTTGGACTTTACGCTGTAAGTATTAGGAACTACTGCAAAGTTTTAAAGGGAAAGACATATTAGCTGTGTAGCCAAGGGTTCTAAATATTAGTAATTAAAGAATAGGTAGTGGAAGGAGACCATGAGAGAAGGAAGGGCATAGATGTAGAAGAACCAGGAAAGAAGAATGTCACAATAGAGAAGGAAACTGAATTTCAAGAAGGGCAAGCAACTGGAGTGCCTGGCTGGCTCAAGCTGAAGAGCGTGCAACTCTTGACCTCGGAGTCCTGAGTTCAAGCCCCACTTTGGGTGTAGAGGTTACTTAATTTAAAAAAAAGGGGCAAGCAACTGCAGCAGAGATTTTTCAGTAAGATAACAATAGAGTGATGAAGGGAGAATTCACACAGTGAATCAAGAGGGGAAAGTGTGTGGAACAATGAAAAATAGCCAATATAGATTACACTTCTGAGAAACTTGGGTCAGAGAGGTAAGAGTAAATGAGTGTGCTTTTTTCCCCTCCCTAGGACAGAACTGGCTTATGCCAGAAGGCTCTTATGAGGGTCAAATGAGATAAGGTACATGAATGTCATCTTAAAAACTATGAAGGACAACATAAATATACAATACTCAAAGCCATTTCCCAGCCAAACTGAATAATGTCTATGGAGGCTCTGAGTTCCCTGTATGGGAGATGATGAAACCAATAGGAGCCAGGAAGATGTAACAATAGTTAACATTCACTGTGCACTAATATGTGCTAGACACTTACATGTAACCTGGTAAATTATGTTATCCCTGTTTTACAGATGAGATAACCAAAGCTCAGAAAGGTTAAGTAATTTGCCAAGGTTACACAGCACAGCTGAATTCCGGACTATCCAATTTCAAAGCCCATGCTCTTTCTACCTTACCATGCTACACCTGACAGATGGACGTGCTAAGATAAGACATCTTAGGTATTTTTTTTTTTTAAAGATTTTTTATTTATTTATTTGACAGAGAGAGACACAGCGAGAGAGGGAACACAAGCGGGGGGAGTGGGAGAGAGAGAAGCAGGCTTCCCGCCGAGCAGGGAGCCCTATGCAGGGCTCAATCCCAGGACCCTGAGATCATGACCTGAGCCGAAGGCAGACGCTTAACGACTCAGCCACTCAGGCGCCCCCATCTTAGGTTTTTTTATCTGACATTTCTTTTTTCATTTTCCTCAGAATCCTGGTACATAATCATCTTCTAGTGGGAGAGGTTTCAGAGTCCTTCCCACACAACTTCTTGAAAAAATCAGTAGCTTTTGGGGTAAAATCATACAGTTTCCATAAAGGATTTGTTTCCTTTTTGGTTGAAATATAACCCAAAAAGCTTTTAGTCTCATATGACTCAGTATTTACACATAACACTCTTTTTTTTTTTTTTTGAAGATTTTATCTATTTACTTGAGAGAGAGAGAGAATGAGAGAAGGAGCACGAGAGGGGGGAGGGTCAGAGGGAGCAGCAGACTCCCTGCTGAGCAGGGAGCCCGATGTGGGACTCGATCCTGGGACTCCAGGATCATGACCTGAGCTGAAGGCAGTCGCTTAACCAACTGAGCCACCCAGGTGCCCCTACACATAACACTCTTAATTTATCCTGCAAAATGGCCAAAATAAGCAGATAAATAAAAAAACTATATATCTGATCTAACACAGGGCCAGTGCTATGATAAAGATTAATCAGTTGTAAGCATAGATGATATAAACTACTCATGAGACTATTTCAAAGATTGGGACCATGTTAAGCTAAAACTTAATGTGTTCATCTAGACATTATTAGTATGTTTACATACCTGTTGCCACACCACACAGATGCTTTCCAATTCCTACCACAGGTAGTTTTTCTTTGCTTAGCAAAGGAATCTTATCTGAAATAAAAGGAAATGAGAACCAAGTTAGCTCTCCTGTGAGATAAGACATTAACAAAAAGACAGAACTAATTTAAATCTTTGAATTTAAGGATCGAGAGAGACTAAAACAAAAATTTCTCACTTTATAGCTGCGGAATAAGAGACTCACAGATGTAATGACCTGATAAGCAACACAGAGGGCTGCTGACCAGCCAGAATTAAAATTCAAGTTTCTTTCTTCTTTTTTTCCCTTTTCTTTCCCTCTCGCCCCTAGGGGGGGACTCTCTTTCTGAGTTAAAGTTTCTTGACTCTTAGGCCAATGTTATTTCTTCTATTCTGACTCAGGACTTTCCCCTGTATAAGCCTATTCTGCTAAATATTATTAACTCATTGATAAAAGAACTCAAAGCTTTCCCTGCTAGAAGATTTATTTTGAACAAATAATACATATGATAGACATATTAATAACATAACCAATATATATTATAAAATACTATATTCAGTATTACAATTAACTATAGTTTTTACTGTATCTTGATATTCACAAAAAAGATATTATCTTAGCTTTTCACATTGTTTTGAAAAAAAGAAAACATTCATAACAGTCCTTAAAAGGTAAAAAAAAAAAAAGGTCCACAAGGTAATGCATTGTATCACAGTTATGGCCTCCATCCCACCCTTATTTATTTTCTTTTTTGTAAGATTCTGAAATGAAAAGTATGCTTCCTCCTACAAATCCAGCTACAGCATCTAGCACAGTGAACAGTCCAATGGAAGTACTTAGTAAGTATTTCAACTTTTCTGTTGCTTGCTTTCAAATGTTAGTATATTACATGCCAGGAGAAAATGGAACCAAGTGGAACAGTTTGCCTCTGTCAGGGAATATAGAAGTTTAAATTAAGGTAGTTCAAGAAACTCACCATCAATTAGGGTGAAGGGAAAGGATGTCTAAGAAAGCCCTTCTGCTTTATGCTTGAAAATTACCTCATTTCCTCTCTCCTTTTTCTTTGGGCTTAGAAAATAGAGCAGAGGAACTTCTGGGAAATGATGGTAGATTAAATGCAAATATCTAGTTTACTCCCTCCTAAAACTTCCACCAACATGAGGATAGAAGGATTTTTAAAAAGGTATAAACTCACAAGATCTGAGAGAGGACAAAAGGAGACAAAAGTGGGAAAGGCTGTGACTCAAACAAATTTATTCCACAAATCTTCAAAAGGCTCAAGAATTGGGGGGATCAGGTAGTAGAACTGAGTAGCTACAATAGAGAGTACTGGTGGAAAGTCTGTTTAAATAGTCAGATCCCCACCTTGGTGACTACCTGTTTCCCACGTGGTGGAAGACTAGACTAATTCTCTGGAGCAAGTAGAACAGGAGGACAGTGGATTGAGGGACAACAGGAAGTTCAAAGTTGAAGTATGGTAAAATAGCAGAAGTCAGTGAGTGTGCATACTAATTTCCCTAGCTTTTGTTCCCCACTGGGTCCAGGTCCCAAGATGTTCGTAATCAGACCTTTACTCTCTAGGTAGGCGATCAGAAGAGTCTTCTCTGTGGAATCTGATCTGCCCAAGAGGAAAGATCACATCTTAGGCAGATCACCACAAAGTGCAGCTCAGAGTCAACAACTCCACCTAAGGACTCAGAGCTCTGAGTCCCTCAATCCTAAGAACACACCATCAAGGAGCACCAGATGTTTGAGGACAGCCTCTAAGTCAAGAGACCAAAACAAATGGAAAAGAACAAATTGGTGAAAACAGATTACGAAGGGAGAATAATTCTAAAAAAACTATTATTAATATCCTCAGAAAGATATTATAATTATAAAAAAGAACAAGATACGGGGCGCCTGGATGGCTCAGTTGTTAAGCGTCTGTCTTTGGCTCAGGTCATGATCCCAGGGTGCTGGGATCGAGCCCCACATCGGGCTCCCTGTTTCTCCCTATCCCACTCCCCCTGCTTGTGTTCCCTCTCTAGCTGTGTCTCTCTCTGTCAAATAAATAAATAAAAACTTAAAGAAAAAAAAGAACAAGATATAACAATAAAGGTAAATTCAGAGAAAAACATCTTAGAAATTAAAACTATGAGTGGGACGCCTGGGTGGCTCAGTCGGTTAAGCGTCTGCCTTCGGCTCAGGTCATGATCCCAGCGTCCTGGGATCGAGTCCCACATCGGGCTCCCTGCTCTGCGGGGACCCTGCTTCTCCCTCTGCCTCTGCCTCTCTCTCTCTCTCTGTTTCTCATGAATAAATAAATAAAATCTTAAAAAAAAAAAAAGAAATTAAAACTATGAGAGAAGAAATTAAGTTGGGGAAATTTTAGAAAGTATAGAAAAAAGACCAAAAAACATAACATAGAGAAGTCAAGAGAAGTAGAAAACCATCCCAGTAGGTCTAATAATTAAATCATAAGAATTCTTCCAGAAAAGGAGAAAAGAGAAAGTGGAACAGAGAAAATTATGAAAGAAAGAATGCAAGGCAATTTCCCAGAAAGCTAAGAACACTAGAATCTCTAAATCAGGATTTCTCACCCTTGGTATTATTGACTTTTTGGCCCCAATAATTTTGTTGTGGGGAGCTCTACTATACCGTATAGGATCTTTAGCAGGCCTCTGGTCTAGCAGGCTCTCTGGCCTGTATCCATTAAATGCCAGCAGCATGCCCCCTGCTATGACAACCAAAAATGTCTCAGACATTGCCAATGTGCCCTGGGGGACAAAGTGGCCTCCACTGAAACCACTGCTATAAATGAGTCAGGCAAAATGGGTAAAAATATAACCATATGAAGGCATATCACTGAAAATTTAAAACACTAAGGACAGAGAAGCCCGTATACATTTCAAGAAAAAAGCATATCCAGTACAAGGGATCAAGATTCAGAATAGCACTGAACTTTTAAACAATACTAGTGGAATAGAACTTTCAGAATTCTAAAGGAAAATGATTTTCAACCTAAAAATACAAATACCCAGCCAAGTCAAGTGTAAAATAAAAGATGTTTTTGGATGATGCAAGGTCTCAAATTTATCTGTAATGCGTTGTTTCTTAGGAAGCTATAGGACTAGGTGGTCTGCCCAAAAAGAGTGTATCAACAGAGGAAGATACGGGAAAAGATGTGGAAAAAGAAATTCCCACTCAGGTGTGTGAAGGAAATCCCCAGGATGAGACTGAAGAGAGTTTTATGTTGATCACTGTGCCCCAGGAACATGTCTGAAGCATACAGGGGAGAAGTCCAGTCTTGATTGGAACATGTCTGAAGCATACAGGGGAGAATTTTTCAGGAAGACAGAAACTAACAGAATACTTGATGAATGTATTACGACAAATACATTTTTAAAAGACCAAGTAAATAAAATTATAAATTATTAATTTAGCAAACAAAAAATTATACAGGAAAAAGTAATTTACTACATGGTCCAGTGATCAAAAATGATGATTTAATCATTTAATACATATTAGAAAGATGAGGAATGGGAAGTGTCTGCACTTGAGGCAGGGCAGGGGTAGAAAATCTTCATCTTCCATTGGGAAAAACCGGTAGATAATGCTTGGGGAAAAAAAAAGGGGGCGGGCAGCAAAAACAAAATTCACCTATAAGAGGTAAATGTGGTTGGCTCCGAAGAGAGAAACATGGCAGGGAGGAAGTGGCTGGTGCTGTTTTTAAAACAACTTGAGAACTTGTAGAATTATTTGACTCTTAAACACACAAATCTAACTTTAATAAAAGCCCCAAAAAGAAAAACAAAAAACAAGGAAAAAAGAAAGGGGATGGGGATGTCAGCAGTAAACTCATTCAATAGATACTTCCTATTCTTTTTCTTCCCCTAAAATGATGAGTAGTCAATTCTAACCCTGCCACCCAGAAAGGAAGAGAAGTCCTTTAAATAAATGTCACCTTCTCCTCATTTCAAAACTACCTTTACGCACTCTCAGTATGTCATTAAGTAAGTCTTTTATTTTAAATATTAATAAAAAACTGAAGTATGGAGGTCAGGAGATCAAAATTCACATTTTCACTGGTGGCTATATTTTTAGTTAGTCACTGCTTAGCAGGAAAAGATTTTCCAATTAATGTAAATTCTAAAAGGGCAGTATTGAACTAGATTGTAGGTATTTGCTCCTTTCTCTCTTATCTTTCTTATTTTGGTTTAAAAATAGGGAATGGGGGCACATGGTGGGCCCAGAAGAGTGATCTAGAAACTATTTAATAAATATGGTAGGCAACTTTTCAGTATGCTTAATAAGAATTCAACACATACCGTAAAAACGTGTCTAGGATTTTCAATGTCAGAGAAGTAATATATTCAGTTAAATAGCTGTGTTTTTTTTTTAAGATTTTATTTATTTATTTGACAGAGAGAGATCACAAGCAAGCAGAAGGGCAGGCAGGCAGGCAGAGGGAGAGGGAGAAGCAGGCTCCCTGCTGAGCAGGGAGCCCAATGCGGTGCTCGATCCCAGGACCCTGAGACCATGACCTGAGCCGAAGGCAGACACTTAACTGACTGAGCCACCCAGGCACCCCCTCAGTTAAATAGTTTTAAATACAGCAATATATATATAATATAAATGCTGGGTTGCTTCACAAAGCTGTATTAATTAGTGGATGGAAGTTACTAGGATATGTTTGTATTAATTATGAAAAACTATAAAAAGGTACAGAAAAGGCACAAAGAGTATGACTGAAGGGAGTGTGTGTGTATGAAATGTGACTTCCACAGAGATGAATTATATTGGTACAATTTAAAATTCTAGGAAGTATGTTTTACCATCAGCTGAACAAAGAACTATCTCATTTCTTTAACAGTTTAGGTAAAGTCATGTTAATTATAGGCAGAAGGCACTAGCTTTTTTGGGGTGGGGGGAGAAGGAGAGGGAGAGAGAGAATCTTAAGCAGGCTCCATCTTTAACATGGAGCCTGAAGCCAGGGCTCGATTTCACAACCCTGAAATCATGATAAAAGTCAAAATCAAGAGTTGGACACTCAACTGACTGAGTCACCCAGGCACCCCTGCACAGACTCATAATTAAAAAGGACAAAGAAATAATGTAGGGACATATTATCAAAACTTTTAAACTCTTTCCTAATATGACACTTCCATTTCTAATTGATACTGAAACCTCATTTTTAAAAAGTTCCAACCCTAATTCAATTTACACTTAATCAGATGTTAGATATAACATTCTATAGTAACAGTGCATTAATTTTAATTTGTTTTCCCTGAAACACTGTTCTGCATGACTGGGTTTCTAAGCAACCCTCAGAATTTGAAACTTCTATGATTTATGATAGGGCAACCGAAAGTTATACAACTTACTCAAACACAAATGTTGAATATCAATTTGAAGTCTCTCGAATACTGAATTTTTCTTTCTGTGTTTGCCATCTACCTGCACAAACAGAACATTGTCATAACAATAGTTTTTTATGTTTACTTTATGAAATTAAAAAAAGATTTCTATGTGTTTTCAAAATTCAGAGGAAATAATTTCCCACCTTATTTTTTAATACTTAAAAAACAGAATCACTAGTTAAAAAATTTAAGATTGTATATTCTTTGATGAAAATTCCAAAATAACAGTATCATACATTTTTAAAAGGCTTGAAAATTTTATAAATTATTATGTATAATTATTTCCTGTTGTTAAGTGACTAACAACAGGAAACTTAACAGATGTTAAGTGACTAACCTAAGATTATTTGCCAGCTCCTTTGCCTTTGTTAGCCCCTAATATACTATTTTTGGTATATTCTATCATTCTGCTTACTCTCTCTGAAAGATCACAACCACCATTCTGATCTATGTCCATGTGCCTTTGACTTACAAATCGACACTGTGGCCCAGATATTTTTGATGAACACCAGACACATAACTAGCCGTGAACTAGAAAGCTCTACTTCAACTGCAAACTCATTCAAAACTGAACTCATCATTGCTCCCCCCAAAACTATTCTTCCTCTTCCTCCTTCTATATTCCCTATCTCAGATAAAATGTACCACCAGTCACTTAAAGCCATAAAGTGTCACCTGAAATAACTCCTCTCTCATTCTTAATGACTAATAAATCACTGAGCCTCCTTGCTTCCAAAATCTTAGCGTTTCTCATACTCTTTCCCTCCTCTCCATCCCCAATGCAACAGCCTTAGCTCTGGCCCATTTCTTACGTGGATTACTGGATAATAATTATCTTGTTATTAATTTCCCTACTTCAAGTTTCAGACTCCTCTGATAGAGCTTTAATGGTACTGCTAGGGTGAACTTTTCAAAAGCCTTTTGATTTTCTTCAGCAACTCTTACATATTCTTTCAATCTCCTCTCAGCTGTCACCTCCACCAGGAAACCTTCCCTGGCCCACACTACACTGAGGTTGGTGTTCTATCTTCATGCTCCTATGGCTTCTGGTACTTACCATTATCATAAGAGACTTAGCATATGGAACCAAAATACTCCTAAGTCTGCCCCACTAGATATAAGCTTCTCAAAGACAAGAACTAAATCTTGGTCCATAGAATCCCCAGCATGTAGCAGGATAAAGTCAAACTCCTTCCCTTGGCATGAAACAGGACACCTTCCAGTCTAGCCACGCTCTCCCATCTCCTCACCAGTGAACTCTACTTGGGACCATGCATTCCCATCACACAGAAGTGTTTCCATGTTTCCCTGTTGTTTCAGGTATTTGGTTACACTGTTCCTCAAATCCTCTATCTAGAAAACACCAGTTCTCCTTTCAAGATAGAATTCAGGCATCACCTTTTCGATGTAGCCATTTGCATCCTTTCCCTGCAATAAAACATGTCACTCCCTCTTTTGAAACCATACTGTACTCTGTGCAGATTTTTTTCATACTTTGATACTTTTCTATAATCATTAATTTGCCTGTCTCTCCTTTCTAAATATCAGTAATAGAGCATAGGGACCTTGTCTTGACTTTATCTACCCAATGTCTGTCATGGTACCTAATGGTACGCTCAATAAATATTTACCGAATGAATAGTTAGTAGGTGGCACAGGCAGGTTAGAACCCAAGACTTTTAACTCCTAGCTTGAGCTTGGCCCTTTCCACATATTTTCTTGTCTCTGCAAATAATTTTAAGAACTCAGCTCAATGGGCTATTAAAATTTAGATTAAAAAATTTATCTTCAGTTTATCAATATAATTAGAATAAAAAGAATAAAAAGCCATATCAAATCAACACCAAAAAATAATTTTCTTTAAGAGACATGTTTCTGAGAATCATTCTATTTTTAACAAGAAAAGTGCAAACAAAGTTTGGTTACTAATACACTGCCATGATTTCACTTACCTTGAATCTCGTGGTCACCTTTTCTACTAGGATGAAGTGAACTTTCTCAGCATCTTTTAATGCAATATCAACCCAATGAGATAATTTTCCCTTTCCTGCTCCAAACTCGACAAAGCATCTTCTTGGACCAAGTAACTTTAATTTTTCAATGTTACCTAAAATAGAAGCCTGCAAACTTCACAAGATTATTTTATAAACTAGAGCGAACACATTTGGCTTGATTGGGAAAATAGCAAGGTAATTTCTACGAAAGGCAGCATGTGCACATTGATAATTTTTGTTTGGCTTTAAATTTTTTCCCTTGCTTTGAAATTTCTAACACACAATACTCAGAACCATATCCATGCCAAAAGTTTTTAATATATGTTTACACATACTTTTTGAAATGGAAAGATTCTGTTCCCCGTAAGATAAACTAAACAAAATCTAAGAACTATATTTAGAAAGAATGTTAGCTTTTGACAAATGAAAAAAGGGCAATTTTAGTATAGTTACTATGGCCTAAACATACCTGCTGTTTCAGGTGTTTGGTTGCAGAATCACCATTTTTAGGGTCATTAAGGGCATCATGCAATGCTGGATGGGACATAATTTGATCTTTAAGTGTAGAGTTCAAACCTGTGCCAAATATAAGCACAATAGCTTAAGCAACCAAACATGAAACCGTGGGGCTCTGAACAATGGTAGTAACATCTTGTTAACCACACTTGTATCACTCATGTGGCACCTAATTATTCTAAAAATTTTAACTTACAACTGTAGGCACACTTACCTTCACTTGCTTTCCTCAATTTCTTAATTAAGTTTTCCAACTGCTCTTCAGAGAGAGAAGAAATTGGAACCTATATACAAAAGTGGGGCATCAGCTTGTCTGGGAACTAACCATCACTAATAATAAGGATTCTATAGGAAAATGTATTCTAAATTTAAAACAATTAATTTATTCTAACAAAAATTGGAACACAGCTTATTCACAGAAATAGTCCACAGACACCTTTTAAATAAAAATTAAATATTAAGTCAAGTACTTACTAACTGTTCAGGTATTTCTGTTCCATCTTTTAAGCCTGCATTAATATCTTGAATAAAGAAGTCCTTAATAAAAACAAAACCACAACAATACTGTTATTAATGTGAAGAGCTCACAAAAATTAAGGTGAAAAACTGGTTCTCCCCTTCTTCACATACTCTGTACCCACCATCCTCCCTTTCTCCCATTTATGAATTAAATAATTACTGAGCACCTACTGTGGTCCTTAATTTGTTTTAGTGCTGAGGACTCACCACAGTAGAGAACAGAAAAGACAAAAATCTCTATGTTTATGAATCATATATTCTAGTGAGTTGTTATTTGAATAAACATTTATAGTCTAAAGAAATTTGTTTGTAATTTTTATTAACGTTTTTACCTGCCTATAGCATAGACTTAGGACTCTGTCAGTTTTGCTTACGGTGTTACAGTAAAAACCACAAAGTACCAACTACACATGGCTGTTTATCAGACAGGCAGCATGACCAAAAATAGAGATAAGATACGATATTATAATGGTTTAGGTCTGATTTCTTTTATTTTAAAATTCTGATTAAAATAAAAAATAGAAATGTACTATGACACTATGTTGTTTATATTAACATAGTAAGATCTTTCTAGTGTATCTTCAGAGAGAAAGATTCAACATAAGTATCTAGATCAGCACTGTCCAACAGAACCTTCTGCAATGATGGAAATATTCCATATCTTCCCTGGAGAACATGGTAACCACTAGTTTTGAAATTCTGCTAGTGTGACTGAGGAATTAGATTTTCAATTTCATTTTAATTAGTTCAAATTTAAATAGTTACACATGGCTAGTGGTTACCACATTGGACCATGTAGATATAGAAGAATAAAATAATACTATTTCTATAAACCCTGTTCTAAAAGTAAAAACTACTCCTGGGACTTTATGCATACTAATGGGCTTTTGTTATGCAGAAGGGTAACATGCAGACTGCGTGTTGCTGCCTTTACTTATATGAATAAGGAAACTGATGATTAAGCGGAACAGGTGAAGACAGCAGGTATTATAATGTTCTGTTGGGTGACTGGCAAAACTATGATAGAAAATTAGCTACAACTATTATAATTTGATGTACTCTTAGTTTAAAATGGTTGCCAAGAGTGCTCCAGGTAAGTTGTGTTGTAGACTAAATTTTTAAATGTGAAAACTATTTATACTGGAGAAACTTATCACCAATTTACTTTCATTTGGTATGCAGAATTTTTAAAAGATTTATTTATTTTAGAAAGAGAGTGAGAGTGAGTGGGGGAGGGGCAGAGGGGGAGAATCTTCAAAGAGACTCCCCACTGAACATGGAGCCAGACTCGTGGCTTGATCTCACGACCCATGAGATCATGACCTGAGCCAAAACCAAGAGTCACATGCTTAACCGACTGAGCCACCCAGGTGCCCCTGGGGGGTATTCCATTTTTAATAAATTCACCTCTTCTCTCAAACTTTTCCCAGAACATGTATTCCACCTGTTTGCCTTAACTAAAACCTGGCACTTAGGTAAATTAGCTAATCTCCATGCATACTTGAAAGTAAAGGCAATATTCTTTCTTTTTACTAAGGGGCTATCTGGGGTGGTCATCTTTTTTCTTCTACAGATCTTAATGTAAAAATACTTCCTGTTAAGCTTATGTCATTTGACCTAAGCTGGTTCTCAATTGGAAGGCATTTGGAAATGTATTGGGCTACTTTATTGTCAAAATGACTGAGAGGTGCTATTGGGAGACAATTCTCCATGGGTCTCTCAATTTTCTGCAAGTGTTAGAAGCAAGACACACTGACAACCTTTGTTCCAGACTCTCTTATCAAGGACATTTGTATACGAAGCAGTCTTGGAAGACAGAAATAGTGTCTCCCAGAGCAGATCAGGCCTGTACAGTATAATAATAAAGAAATGTCTACTTATGGAACAGAGGTCAGGCAGGTTTCCTTACTACCCATTTTATTATTTTTTAAAAGATTTTATTTATTTATTTATTTATTTATTTCAGAGATAGAGAGAAAGCGCATGCATGCACAA